TATGGATTGTAAGGATAAGTTTTTCTGCATAGTTTTAAAATAAAAGAAAATTTTTGATTTTAGTTATTTTAAAATATCCTTACAATGGCATTTGAGGAAAAATTGTTGCTTATATGATTCCATTAATAACAAGAGTGGAAATATGAAATTGATTCCTTCATTTGTGGTAATGTCTAAATTTACCAAATAAGGAAAGATTCTCATCACCCAAGTCTTAATTGGACCAGAACTTGGAATCATGCAAGTTTTATAGTATGATGAATGAGAACTTTCAAGTATTGGAAAAATAAGACTAATTACTTGTTCACATGGATGTGTGAGTCAAGTAAAGGACTAAGGGATCGAGTACACATTCTTGTGCACTGGTCAAGTCCACCACAAAAGATCAATAAGATTATTCGTCATAATTTACTAAAGTTCAGTAAATATGGTTATACTTATAAGCTTAAGTGTAATTCTGAGACATTGGAAAAAGGTTCCAATGTAAGGTAGAGCGAATAAGAAGAATCAAATTAGGCAGAAGGATAGAAGTTTCTTAAATCTGAAAAGATGAGAGAGTACTTTTCGTATCAGTTTTTATGATCATCTTAATGATTTAGAGACCCTATCATAATTCATCCCCTAAGTGCTTCTTATAGCTAAGAAGAGGAACTATGAATTGTTGAAGTGGTTAAATCAAGAAGATGATTCATAATTCGTTCCAAAAACAATTCTTAGAGTTATACTCCAAGATTGTAACTTGAGTGACATGTCTCAAAGAAGGTTTAAAACACTTGTCAAATGTAAGAGTAAAAGTTTTCTACTCTTGTACATTTGAAATTGGTAAGTTGTGATGTTTTGGATAAAACAAAGACCAACTTAGGCCAATTGTGTGAAGTGTTTGTCTTGGTTAGAATCCACACTATCTCTTGGATGTTTGACAAGGGAGTCTTATAAGTCAAGAGGACAATGGGAGTCTTAAAGGTCTTGAAAGTCTCAAAAACTAATCAATAATGAAACCTGAAGTTCCTCACTAGCACACGACTTGAGGTTTATAACCTATCGTGTTGACATAGTCTGTGCCCATTCCAGTTAAAGTTGGCTTTGCATATGAGTTCTTAGAGTTCTCAATTGGTTGCACAACAACTTGGAAGCAATGGCAGGCCCTTGAGCTGCCAGGTGGCAAGAAATTAAGATTGAGTTCAGTCCATATGAGTTTGGATTTGTCATTATCCTTGTCTTGTGACTATGGTTTTGACAATTCACATGGATAAGAACACATACACCATTAAATCTAAGTGTCATAAGGTTTCTCTCCGATTCATGAAAATGATGGTGAGGAAACACTTTCACTAAGTAGATTTTAGCTAGATAGCAATTGTGATATTTGCATTCTCAAAGTCGTTAGTGGAGCGTGTGTGGTTTACCGGCACACTAACCTGGACTTGTGAGAAGTGGCAAAAAGGTCTAACCATTATGATTACGATCCCTCTTCATAATTGTTTAGACACACAAGTGTGCTATCTAAGGGAAGGTGTATGTTTTTGATAAAGTTTTATCAAAACAATCTAGTATCAGAAATCTGAACTTTGGTAAGAAAGTCAGCTGATTTCTGAGTACATGTCAAAGCTAGTGGGAGCATAAGTGTTATGCTAATAATCATCATGTTAGTGGGAGCATGATAATTATGATAAGTATTGCAAGTTAGCAATGTTAATTATAGAAAACAAAAGGTTTCAATTGGGAAAAGTTGTTTTGCTATAATTAAGGGAGAGGAAATTATACTTCATCTCAAATCTATAAGCTTAGATCGTGAGGTTTTAATCATTTAGTCAAGGATATATATATGAATTTCATGTTGGAATGGCTCAACATAAGGAAATTCTGTATATGGGTCCATTATTTGCGTTCTTAAATTCGATTATGATTACGGCATCCCTTTTCATAATCTGAATTACTTGGCAAATAGAAATGGAAATGTTATAGCAAAAGACTGGTTTAGTCTTTATGTGAGACATCATGAATCGTGTCCCATATGCTTCGGATATAGGATCGATTACATGTGCTATATTCATCCTTTCTAAAATTTCCAAATGCCTGGGGCATTAAGAAGGGAAAAGGTTTAGAACTGGATATGACTAAAAGGATTAAACAATTGTCGAGGACAATCTAAGGTTTACCAAAGATTGGTTGCTCAAGGACAGTTGGAAGTATAGTGATAATTCTGGAAGGACCATATTGACATAATCTGTAAGGAGGCAACTCTTGTTCAGAAGTGATAGTCAAAATGGAATCTGGAAATGTTTCAAAGTTAGAATTTTCAATCTGTTAAGATTAGGAAACTTAATGCAAGAAGGATGTTTCCAAGGAGGATCTCCTTTGGAATGCTCTGTAATGATTGTTGTCAAGTCTTTCTGACTTTGTGCATAATCATTACAAGAGGATCAATGCATATAAGTTTAGAATCTAACAGATTTCAGTAAATGGCATGAATTTGGAATTCTTGCATTTGCAGTAAGGATTTGGGAGTGTGAAAAGAGAATCATTGAAGTTATGTTCAATTGATCTAGTTCACAAAGTAAAGATCATAGACAAACATAGTATGCATACTTGGTGTATGGCATGACTAGTGTTTAGAAAACATAGTGTACATGCTTGGAGCATGGGACAACTATTGTTTTAAATTCAAGAATAAAGTTGATAGCTGAAACAGTATACAATGAATAATGTGTAATCATATGGTGATAAATAAAAGGTGTTTTATTTATGTTCATAGGTTTTGATACCATATTGGATTCAATTATTATTGTGTTTCACTTTGCATGTTTTGACTTCCCGAATAAACTAGGTTATTCTTCCGGAATGACTAAGTTATTCAAACCATCCACAGTCGGTCATATGTTGGAAGTAGATATGAATTAAGACTGTCATGGGTTGGCTTGTAGAGGTCTAAGGTGTTGGACAAAGGGCTACAACACTCATGAGTGCTCATAAGTTCTGAGTATTGGATTCAACCCGCGCTCATTGGAATCACTTCATGGATTTTATCACGAGTGATCATGAGACGATAATATCTTATATTCTTCAAACCTAGAGATATGAGTTGTTACTATGAGTTGGTTGTACATTGATTGCACGAAACGCATTTGGTAACTCGGTGCTATAAAACGTGCCTTTGTGTATGATTCAACAAGTAGTAGAACAAGCCATATGAGTCGAAGTTTATCCATTCCTTTTACCTTCGGATAAAAGCGATATCTGTGGGCCCCTCGATGATTTGATGATGACAAATGGAAGTGCTCGGCCGGGCCAGGACTGATTTGATTTGTTCAATTAGTCAGTCGTCATAAATCGGAAATCGGGAAACAACAAATGGACAGAGAGAATGATTATAATCCATGTCTCAGTCCATATGATATCTAGAATGGAGGAATATATGATCCCTTATCTAATGGACAAGTCATTGACAAAGGTCAGAGTTCATCGACAAGGTCAGAGTTCGACAGAAGCTTTTGAGAGCTACGATTGCCAGTTGGTTCCTGAAGTCATACGCAATAATAGTTTTAGACTTATCCAAGTGGGAGACTGTTGGATTAATGTCTAAGTCCATAACTATAGTTGGTAAGACTTGACCCGACCCGGCATGGTCCATTTGGGTTGCATGCCATCATGCATTTGGATAGACTATAATGAGAGAAATAAGACACTTATGGTTATTAATATATTATAAGTTCTAGTATATTAATAATAAGAATAATGAGATTATTTAATTAGTATTGATCAAGAATTAATCTAGGATTAATTAAGTGATCAAAAGAAGACTAATTAAATATATGGGTTGATTGTGTAAATCATCCATACTTGTATAGTGGGCTAATGCTCCATGGATAATCAAGTTGGGCTAAAGCCCTTAGGATGATACATGGATGCTCCACGGTGTATTTGAACCCATGGATCCAAGGAAATGGAAAGTCATGACAATTAGGGTTTACCCTAATTGTAACACTATATAAAGATCTTATTCTTGACCAAAATCAGCCACTAGTGAGAGAAAGAAAGGGCTAGCCGATTTCATGAAGTGTAGAATTCTCTCAAGTTATTCCAAGTGCTTATGGTGTTGTGTGAACCATTTGAGGTGTCATACTTGGGGAACTAGGCACTCAAGCTTCATAAATACAAGCACTAACAAAATGTATGTTATTCTAACTTGTGTTATTCAAAGTTTAGTATGCTAGAATAGAACAATACCTTGGAAAGTTGATATTTGCATGTATAATAGAGAAAACATAGATCCAAGGTATTTAGGGTTTCATGTACACTTAGGAGTGTTAGAATGCTCAAAACCCAACAATTAGAGCATAAGTGGTATAGAGAATAACTTTTATCCTAAACACATAAATGATTAAGATACCAAGTTAATCTCAGATCAACTATAATATGACCTTATAGATTCAAAGGACAACCACTGAAGCTCTGATATCAATTGTGAGAACAAGATTTAATGTGAAACAAAAAGATTTGAAATATCAAACCTTTAGTTAATATTTAAGATCAACGTCTCTTCTTAATTAGTGGTTCCAGTCAAGTCTGGTAAACCAGTCAAAACTTGAAGATAAATAATCAACATAGTATTCAAGTAATAAATGAAGTAAGATTGAGTATAATCAATGCAAAGATATTTTAAGACAAGAAGAATGTAAATGAAAGAAGTGTGACTTGCAAGAGTTAATGGATTGATATGTAGAGAATATCAATAGATCTATTCTTGGTTAAAAACTCATGAAACATTCATTCCTCGAATAATGAAGGACAAACTTGGTACCAATCTTTGACACATTCTAAGGACTGGAAATTCTGGTTCTTAATGTTGTTGTCAAAGATGAAATGACAGGCTACATCGAAATAGTTTTTAGGATTTGAGTAGACATCACCTTTTTAAAATGTAAACTAGGTAAGGAGCATTAGTTTGGAGTTGAAGAACTAAACTCCATATTGGATATAACTCCGCCTTGATACTTGATTCAACATTCGAAACCATTTTTGAAAGGAGTCTTGAGAAATACTATCTCATCCTTCTCTACCTTGACATGAAGATCATTCAAGTATTCCTTTTTAAAAGTGGTGAGATTTTCTATCAATCTTGTAGTTGCATCTGCAACTACATCCATTTTCGTATGTAACAAAGATGAATTCCCATCAAAAAATTCTCTAGAACTACTTTCATATTTCTTCACCTTAATATCCATCATCATTCAAATTTCATTCAACTAATTCTCTAGAAATACTTTCATATTAGTAAGTTGTTTCTCAAAAAGCTCATGACAATCTTTTGAAACATCACGTAGGTCATTGTTAAAATTGAAAGATTGAGAAATGACACGTTCATCACTATGCTTGTCAATACTTTTAATAATAGTCTTCAATCGAGACTCTAAAGCTTTAAGAAGGTATTTGAATTCAACCCCCTAACATAATGTTTACTTCCGGTATGATCTAAGAACTGTAAAATTGAATTCAATTTGGAGTTCAAAATTTTGAATTCCTTACTTGACATTATTAACTCATCAGGAATATCTTCCTCGTCATGATCAGATTGGAGATCATCAAAAGAAACCATAACATTATCGTTATCATCCTCTTCTTCTTGAATGGTTGTCTCTACCTTGGTGGATTCTGATGAAAAGAGAGTTACAATAGGTTCTTGCATAACCCCAGTTGGTGAAATAGTTGTTACTGGAATAGAAGAAGTGATTGGTGATGTTGGTGGTGGAAGAATGGTTGATGTTTTGATGGTTGTTGTTGATGTTTTTCATGTATGCATCCCTTCATCCATGTTACCATTTTAGCCTTATTATATAAGTTCAAAGTGATGTCTAGAGTTATGTCCTCCTCCATAACAGATTTGGTATTCACCTCAATATCCATCATTATTCGAATGTCCTTCAACTGGTTTTCTAGAAAGGCTTTGTATTAGTAAGTTGTTTCTCAAAAAGCTTATGATGTTCTTTTGAAACATCATGTAACTTAGAAAGATCATTGTTGAAATTGTGAGATTGAGAAATGACACATTCATCACTATGCTTGTCAACACATTCAATAAGAGTCTTCAAACGAGACTCTTGAGCATTAAGCAAGTATTCAACTTCAACCCTACTCACAGAATGCTTACTTCTGATATCAGCTAAGAATTGTAAAATCCAATTAATTTTAGAGTTCAAAATTTTAAATTGCTTACCTGACATTATTAAGTCATCAAGAATATCTCCCCCCCCCCCATGTGATCGAATTGAGGATCAACAAAAGAAACCATAACATTATCATCATCAGCCACCTCTTCTTTAATGGTTTTCTCTGCCTTAGTGGATTGTGATAAAAAGAGAGTTGATATAGGTTTTTGCATAACCCCAACAAATTTTGGTTGGTGAAATAGTTGTTACTAGAATAGAAATAGAGATTGGTGATGTTGGTGGTGGAAGAACAGTTGATGTTTCAATTGGTGTTGTTGTTGTTGTTTCGTATGTCTACATCCCTTCATACATGTTGACATTTGTATCCTTATTAGATAAGTGCAAAGTTATGTCTAAAATTTCCTCCTCCTCCTTAAAAAACTTGGTATTCGAAACAATGGATGGTTTTACTTGTGCGTTCTTATGGATGTTTGTGTTTGGTTGATCACCCAAATCGATGTTTGCACCCATATTATATAGGCTATGGTGACATCAACAATCCTTGTCTCCTTAAAAGATGATTTGACAAGGCTATCCTTTCATTGTGATACTTGAAAAGAATCCACAACATGAGTATCTGACCCATCATTTTACTATCATTTTCTATTTCCACAATCACTTTCTTAAATGAAACCTCATCTTTATCATGCTTTTGCTTCTTAAGCCTCTGTATAACATCCAAAGCTTGACACTTCTTCAATGTTGGAGAACCAGGAGTCAAAAGCTCACGAAGTACAATTCCCTTCCTGGTATACTATAATATTCTCTTTGTCTTGTAAGCCTTCTTCGATGCAAAAGAATCAACAATTGGTTCAACAATTTCTTGAACTTTCAAGACAACTTTCTTAGGAACATTTTATAATGGCTTTTGTGCAGGTTGTTTCATTCTTTTAAGAACGGTTTTCATGTTTTTGTAGGAATGGTTTCTTTAACCAACTCCTTAATTCTGCACTTAAGGTTGTTTCTCAACTTGCTTCTTCTTCTTGTTCTTCCGAGATTTAGACCCTTTTGAAGGTCCCTCAAGCCCGTTCTGAGCAACTGGTGGTGGTAAAACAGCCGTTGGTGTAGTAGAATCAATCGAAAGCAAATATTTCACCAATAAAGGATTCCGAGTACCAATTTATGCATCAAATCAGGGATTTGGTCAATGGTTGGAAATACACAAGCATCATCCATAGCCACCCTTGGAATAGTCGTTATTGGGAACTCAGCAGATTGTACTCCAGTTAGAATAAGAATGTTCTTGTAACTGTATATCTGTTTTAGAATCAACCCCCAAAACCTAGCACTCGACACTCTAATAGCTAGTTTGGTATGAGAGATTGAAGTTTCAAATTCTTCATACAATAGTGATGTATAGTCCACATTAAGACCATAATACAAACCAGCTACAATAGAATACATCTCTAGCTTGGTCTTGTCAAGTCCTAAACTCCTTCCTGGTAAACACATTAAGACAAACCATATAGAAAACTCAAAACACAAGGGAGACATGACTTATTAAAATGACTGATTATAGTAAGAGTGGGTTGATGTCCCATCTCATTAAACATGTGCACGACTTGATCATTTGAGACTTCATAAAAGGTACCTGAAGTTGGTAATTGCAAGATTTGCGCAAACTGTTTCTTGGTGAGTTTCTTCGATTTGGAAGTCAATAGTTGGATCATAACCACTTTGGTTGTCTTGTTGAACATGACCATTGAAGCAGCAAGAGATAACCATTCCATTGGAATTGCAAAAGTTGCAGACAAAGTAAATGACAAAACAAATTTATTCAAGGTTTGAATAAGCATCTATAATTTATCTTATCTGGATATGCATCAAAAGATGGAATGAGATGAATATTGGTGTGTTGAATCTTCATCATTGGTTGCAAAATCTATTATTCGTTAGTTCTAGCTTGGTCGACATTGTGTTGAGAAGCAGCCATTAAAGAAAATTAGAGAGAATTTGGGAGAATTGAGAAGTAATGAATAGTTACGGTTCTTGAGTTTAATCAGATAACATAAAGTTGAAAAGAAACAAAACAATTTCCTTTTATAATTTGCATGAATTTTGAATTCATGCCAATGCCCAATGAGAAAATTCCTTGTGGATTATTGGTTGTTTAACTGTCACCATAAAAACTGCCACGCGTAAAAGTGATGATCACTTTTCTCCTAAATTCCTATGAAAATCGTGAACCATTACGTTCACTGGATCTTACGCTTCTCCCAACTGGATATGAAACATCACATGTTCTATTACCAAGTAAAAACTTCATAAGATTCATTAATAAGAGTGAACATCATAAGTTTTGTTACCAACTGAGAACAATCCTTTGGCATGTGGGATTGTTAAGCGAAATCATATGCCAAATTTTGTGAAATCTAAGATAGAGTTGATCTTACTCATATCCTCAAGGATTTTAGTGTTCAAGTATGCCAATCAAAAATATAAATTCAAATTAAGAAAATTTTGGTTATCTTGATATCAAAGATCCTTTGATACGAAAGTAAATTGACCCCGGGCAATGATCTCTTCATTCGACATCAAGAGAGATGAAGAACTTCTTGTGAAGTTTCTCATGAATTATATCAAAAACTCATTGGTGAGTATCGGAGGTCCTCTTTTCCTTTTAGGTTTAATGGTGGCTTCAATTTCACACAAGATCACAACTTAACATAAGTGTGGTTCAGTGTGTAAAATTACTTGGATGACCGGTGTAGTTAAGAGCAAGTATGGTTTGAAAAAGTTTGAGTAACGAAAATTCAAAAAATTGTCCAAAAAGAAATCTAATCTCAAAAAAATATATGAAAAGCTTGATGTTTTGGGCAAAGTGACTTGGTATTAGAACATTTTATCAAGATCACACAATAAGAATGAAAATGAGATACTAAACAACATTGTTCACCGTCAATTCATTAGGAATAGTTTCCTTGGGTTTCACCTTCATCACATAAAAATGATTCAGGATCATAAACACAGAGTTGTGACTTACCTATATCCTGGTTGGTTTCGACCATATATGTCTTGGGTATGTGTCATAGTATATGACCATGAAAGAGATTTTGGATGAAAAAGATTGGATACAAGAACTCATTGTACCTCTACAAAAGATTTGGACATAGAAAAAATCTCTTTACTCTTCATGAGAAAAGAAAGGTAGTTCGTAAACAATTATGAATATAGCCTGATTAGGAATAGTCTTTGAGGCTTTGAGGACAACATGTTGCAACATGATTCTACGGACGCTTTACTAGTACACAGTTTGAAGTCATACCTATTCCCGTTCAATTTACTCATGTGGCATGCGAAAACGCAACATGTTGTTACAATGAGATTCCCAAAAAAATTTAAACATAACAAAAATATTTTTGGATTTCTGTTATTAAAAATGAATGAAAAAAATAAGAAAAACTTTTTGGATTTTTGATTTGTTAGAAAGCAAAATCAAAAATAAGAAAATCTTTTTGTATTTTTGATGTTTGGAAAGAAAAAAACAAAAATAAAGTAAGTACAAATCTTACCAAAATCTTTTCATTCTCAATCTTGACCTCGCAAAATCTGTCATTTTCAAAGAGAGATTGTGCATCGAAAGTCTTCCATCTTATGTGAATTGTAACCCTATACTAAATGATTAAGAAGGAAATCAAATGTGAAAGCAGTTAAACGCTTAAAGTGAATAGTAACCTCTGAACAGAACAAAAGCAAGAAACAAAAGTTAAGAAAACACATGAATGTTATACCCATTAATCGAAAGTGATGCAAACAGTTGAAAGTAAGGTAAAACTCATGTTAGGTTGAATTTAAGAAGAATTATGTGGAATGCGAAACAGAACATGCTTCCATCATTCCCAGACCATTCAAAATCCTTAAAAATGAATTTTCTTCTAAAGGTTTTGTGAAAATATCAGCAAGGTGATCTGTTTTTTTTTTTTTTTTACAAATTGATATTCAATGTTGCCATCTTCAACATGGTCTTTGATGAAGTGATAATGAAGAGCAGTATGTTTTGTTTTAGAAATTTGAACTAGATTATAACAAATGCGAATTGTGCTTTGTGAATTACAATATAATAGAATTTTCTTCATGTTGATCGCATAGTTAAATAATTGGATTTGAATCAAATCACTTGTGATGTGCACGCATAAGCAACGATTTATTCAGAATCGGCTGTTGAAATAAAAATGCATGACTGTTTTTTCGTGTTCAGAACCCCCAGATCCGCATTAGAAAATTCTTAGATAAAGGATCCTGTTTTCGAAGAATACCACAATACTAAAGACTTTGTACCCTGTAGTTATCAAAAGATATTCTTCGCTGCAATACGATAGGGTTCTCTTGGGTTAGATTGGTACCTGGCACGATTACACAAAGAGAACATAAATCAGGTCGAATTACACGTTATACACAAAAGCGAACCAATCATGCACCTATACGTCTTTAGATCTATAATAGGCTTATCCAAAGAAGGACTTAAGCATGTGCCAACAAC